CGTGGGGCGACCATGTTGCGTTCAATGTCCAAGGAATTTGAACAGCAACGCCTTGACGTTGCAGGTCACTTGCTGTGCAACTTGAGGCTCAATGATTCAATCCAAAGATCGAAACGAGTCAACCTGCGATTTAGCGATGATTTAGCGATATGTTGCAATGGAGATGGACTTATGCCAGCCGGTCCGCGAAAATGATGTTATGTATTGCTAGAGGGAAGGAGTTTGCAGTCCAGAAAATGGTTTCTCTTAAAGGCTTTTGTGAAGGCTGCACTTTGGTGGGCTGGGTGGGGCACTGCATTTAGGGGAACCGTGAAAGCTTCCCATTCTGTTCATTGGGTTTGCGTACGCCGCAAATGAAGAATCTCCCTGTGGCACCCTACTGCAAACTCAAAAGCGAAGCACCGATTCAGAGGTGCCCGCCCCATTGCAACATGCATATGCAGACGCTCACTAGGGTCACTTCAGGAACAGTTGACTTGCCACCCCAGAAGCGACAAGCGCAGCCCGAGGAGTACGTTTGGTCTATCCGCCACGGCCATCTCACACAAGTTCCGCTGGAGCACACCTGCCCACGGCTTCGGGTGGCGCAGCATGTGGCTTACTGGGGCAGGGAGAACTGGGCCACCTATGCTGGCCTACCGTACCGGCACCTCAAGGACGGATTCTTAGCTCGACAATGTGGCGACCGAATCCTGCAAGAGGCCTTCATACACTCGCACTCATCGAGCCATCCAAACTTTCAAGTTTTGAGCCTCAGCGGGCATGAAAGGCTCAACCCGGCCCATTTTCACCTTGTGGCCAGCCAGGTGGGCGGCCGCCCGCCGGCCCTGGCGGAGTTGGCCTACGCCGCCCGCAGCTCCGCCCTCATCGCCGCGGGGCTTTGCGCGGCGCCCTGGGCCATGCACGGCGCCGCGGCCCAGCCCTTTGCGGCGGCCAGGCGGGGGGCCGGGCGCGAGGAAGGGAGAAGCAGAGGGGGGAGATACTGTGGATGGACGAAATCCACTTCGCACCACCTAAAAATCCCTGGACTGAAGATTCCCGGTAAATACCAACCAACAATGGTTTCCTACGGTTTCATAGTCAGGATTTCGTCCATCCACAGTCGGAAGGGGGGGGAAATGCTGGGGGGCAAGGTTGTGCTGCGGCTATGCGGTAAAAGTGCCCTCTTTCAGGGATGGTGCACAAGACCGCCAAGTGGTGCACTTCAGGGAGGTGGCACCAAACTTCAGGCTGCTCTTGCGGTTTGGCGCATGTAAATCGGCACGGGAACCGCACGCGCCATGGGAAATGGCGGTGGAAGCTCCGCCTAGTTCCAGCCCTCGGGCCTGGAACAGGCCGATCAAAGCCGATCTTCACATCAGAGCCTTTGCTTAGGATAGGAGGAAGTGAATGGGGCAGTTTCTTCGTCTCTTGATCCATCAAATAAACGCATACCACCTAGGGCCAAAACATGGGATTCGGCAATTCAAGGCAGATTTGCATCTGTTGGTTGTTTCTTTAAACAAACTCCAGCGAGTCACCTAGGCAGGCGCTTCCCCTGTGCAATTCAAGCAGTCCAGCATTGACCCCCTCCCCCCCGGACTAAGTCACGCTATGTCCAGTCCGCCTTTGTGCTCAGTCTTTGGTGTCGGTCGCCTCGGCCTCTAGTTGTCTCCGCACGGGACGTCTTGGCATCGCCGTGCCGAGGCTGGAGCGGGGTTCGGATTTGGTCTTCCCGGATCTTGGACTTCTTGAGGCTGGGCCAGGGGTTTGGCTTCGGCTGTGTCGCTTGATACTTGTGGCAGACAGAGGGGTGATAGCTTGAGTGACTTTGTTTGGAGCTTCAGCCATGTGCCGTTACTGGCTTGTCGTGGCTGGGTTGGTCTAGTTTGATTCTCTGCTGCTTTGCTCAGATGTTCATTGTTATGTTATGTTTTGCTTGTCGTCGTGCCTACTTGCTGACTGGCTTGTTCTTGGCTTGCTTGATTTGTTTAGCTTGGTGGGGTTGGTGTTGTTGCGACATGCCATGGTATGTTTGCCGGGTTTGTTTGGTTTTGACTTATGCATTCTGTGCTTGGTGGATTTGCAGCCAGGTGCTGGGTTGCGTGTGCTATGTCCTTCGAGTTTGGTAGTTGTTATGCTGCTTGGATAAGCGCAGGTAACGTGTTGCTCGAGGCAAGTAAATTGTATCTAGCAGTATCCTTGATTTGGCACAGGTTTTTGGTAGCGGGTAGTGCAGCCTACATTTACTTTTTGGCCAAGAAGCAGGGGCAGTACTACCTGAATGTGTGTGTGTGTGTGTGCGCTTTTTCTGTCCCGATGCTGTTGGATGTGGTGCGTTGTGCGTGTGTTGGCCCATTCTGGTTGGCTGTTCCACTGCCAAGGGCCCATTCAGTGGCATGAGCTGAGAGCTTTTGATAAGCAGTCTTGCTGTGTGTCCATGTCTGTCCCTCAGAACAAATGTTGCCATAGCACCAAAAAAGGCGTAAGCACCTCGTTCAAAGCCATTTGTCCAGTCGCGAAATGAGAGAATCAAGCTGTTGGCACGATGAGGACCTCTGAAGGACAGTCAGCAAAAGGCCTCAGGAAAATGACACCGTCTGGGGTCACGTCTGTCCACTAACAGAACACACGTATTTGGAATCATGTTGCATCATTCCCCAAGGGTGTTTGTGCTGAATAGCCCATGAGAGTGGATTTTCCCAAACGGAAGCCAACAAGTTCTGGCTCCTTTGTTTGGTTTAGGCGTAAAACTTTTACCCCCAACAAGTTCTGGCTCCTTTGCTTGGTTTAGGGGTGAAACTTCCCCCCCTGAACCATGACATTTGACCGTGCGGGTGGAAACGCCAAGAATCCACTCGAGGTGCAGAGGGAGCTCTGCTCCCACGGCCTGGGCTTGACGGAAGGCTCCGCGCACCCGGAGGAGCGGCTGCTGGCGCCGGGGGCCTCAAGTCAGCGGAAGCCGATGGCCGCTTTTCGCTTGGGCGGATCTCGCGCTTGTCGTTTTTCTGAGCTGGCGATCAAAGGCGAACATGGAGCCAAAGAGAAAATGTGTGGTCGCAGATGAAGAATACTCAGTCACGGCCCCCGCAAACGCACATGAACAGGCACTGCCACCCAGACGCACAGACCTGCACCCGCACAAGAGCACATGCACACGTAAATGCATACACACACAAATTTTCACACACAAACAAAACTGTGCTTGGCATGGGCGAGTTCCCCAGATTTTTCATTATCCTTCCCTCATGCCCAGTTATTTCAAGCGAAGCATTTGGCAACCTATATCTGGCGAAGGTTTTCCAACATTGTCCAATACGGCAGTGGACGTAGGGCACAGCCAGCTTGCTCCACAAAATCCAAGCCTCGCAGCCTTTGGTTGGTCGATTGGCCCAGGCGTTGCTTCCCTGGCCAGCGCTGGACCAGCAAGGAGTCGAAGCACTGTGGCAACCTTTGGGTGCCGGAGCTGTTGGCCCAGTACCGCCAGCTCATGCAGGTGCGGGGCCAAGAGTCTGGGAGGTTCGGGGGTTGGGTTGAGCACGGGCACGGCGTGCAAGCCACTTTTGACTCAGTTATTCTTTGCGCTTTAGCCCTCAGGGCGCTGCAGTTTTGCCCAGTAGAGATTCGTTGAAGATTTGCTGGGAGGATGTGGACCGGAACCGGACTACTTGGTTCATTCCTTTGAGACACATAATTGCTGCATAACTTCAGTGAGCAAAGTTGCCTACCCTTTTCTTCTCTTCGCCCCTCTTCAAGGCTGAAAAGAGTCAAAACAGATCCAAAGTACAACGTGCAATTAACCTTCCAGTTCTGAAGCATGACACCATGATTCAGGCTGCTGAACTGTTGATGAAGCCATTGGAGATGGCTGGCATTCAAGCATCCAACCTTTGTGACCGTATCGCAAGTCGAGCTTGTAAATGTAAAATTATTTGTGCAGCCGTTTTCTCAGGACAGCTCAGCCAGCCAACTTGTTGAACGCAAAATAACCATCACAATCTCTTCCACCACACCATGGGGGGCGCGGGGGGGGGGGGGGGGGCGGGCGGGGGTGAACAATGCAAGGAACCCTCATCGCATTTTAACCGAGCAAAAACAACTAAACATATGTGACTTTGACCGTAGCAACTATCTTGAGCCTTCAATTCTAAAATGGGGAATGGGGGGTTGTCACCCTATGATTTGATGAGCACCTTTCCACAAGATGGTCGCCAACAATCATTCCGTTCAGGAAAAAAACTATTCCCACATCGCAAGCAGGGTGTTGATAGTTGGCTCGTGTTGCCGTTCTTATGTTGGGCGTTGTTCGACGTGCTGATGCAGCGCCTGTCCCCCTCAGGTTCTTCCCTTTGCTGTGCCAGCGGGGAAAAAGTGATGCGCGCGCAGAGACGGGCTTCCGAGGTGTTGAACAGAGAGCTTTGGCACTTTCCGTTCAAAAGGCTTATTCACGATGGGTGGGATTGTGCTTGATGATGTTATCACTCAAAGGGGCCTTCCTGGGGTGCTAAGGTCGTTGTTCAGGCTTCCCCCTAGGATGGATGAGCGAAATCTTGCACCATGCGAGGCCCTCGAATGATGATTCCTCTGCAAATACCAACGGACAATGGTTTCCAATGGTTACAAAGTTGTGCGAAATAGATTTCGTCCATCCGCAGTATGGTGAGTCTTTTTTTAGGGTCACGGGCTGAGAGAGACGGAACAACTCGGGGTGAACTGCTTGTGTATGTGTTGTCCACTAGCCTGCTGGGCACCAGAAAGTGTTTCTGGTTGTTCTTCACTTGTGGTGCACTCCTGCCCTGTCAATCATAGAATCTGCGAGATCCAGCTACCACAACGTTGGATACCTCACTACGCATCATGAGCAGGTACTTGGAAGCATCGATGTAATTAGTGGGGGTCCTACACCACCTTGTTTTGGACCACGAGCTAGCTTGCCTTGCTGACATCGTCGTGCACATCTGTTTTCGCAAAGTTTGCCGGTCCGCTCCACGGTGCCACGGTGCCCGTTGGCCCTCACCAAG